TAATTTATGTGTGTTTACCAACTTTTTCAGTAAAATGTTATTCGATGAATGTGCCAACAATTTTTGTTCTCAGTTTGAACTGTCACTGAAGCAGTTTTCAGTATCTTATAATTCACGATGATGAAGGGGTTCTCAAGGTGTGTAGGTCATGAAAGGTGGTTTAAAACCAGTGGAAATCAGCTTTTAGCATTATTCGTTTGTGTTATCATAGTTTACAATGGCTATTACCAACGAAATCGCTCGTTCTTAGTTTATTGCCGGAACGCATATTTGTTATTTGGGATTGTAAAACAATTCTCGAGATTCAATAAGTCACGAACTTACATAATTGATTCAGTCAGCTGGGTTCATTTTTGTTTTGGTGAAACGCAATGATCGCTATGTGAAACGGCATTTTTTGACGTATTGAGTGATAATTGTGCAGATACATATGACTTCGTCATCGATATTTCAAATCGGTATCTACAGAGTCTCAACGATTCTAAAAAAAAAGGAAATCGTTGTCTAATTTCAGACAAGCTCATCATTTGAATGTCATCTCATCTCTATAAGAGATTTGTGAGATTGGCAGCGAAATGGCCACACGATAAATACAAGAGTGCAGATCGAGACTTGGCCGTGTTTATGAGTGATGAGATCGAACGGGTGTTTCGAGTTGAACGCGACCAACTGCCACCGGATGCAACTTTGTGTGAGAAGCGTTTACAGAGTGAGAGCATTATTTTGTATATTATTGTGGGTTTTGACTTTTCTTTTTTAACACATCATATAATTTACAGGTTTAAAGCAAATTCTCATGAATACACATCGACTCAACTACCCGCATTCCTATAAATCCGGTGTATTCGGATTGAATTTGCAGCGACTGCGGGAAGCAAACTCAGAAGAAGGTCGAAAGACACTGGGATTGCTTAAACAGAGGAAATCGCTCGTTGATCTGTTTTTCAAACCGAAATGAACTAATACCTGATTGTCATGAATCGTTATCGATGTATGAGTCAATGGTTCCGAAACATTACTGATTAACGGAGTCTTGAAATATATCAATACCTGCAAGGCTCTTGAAATCAACCGAACACAATTCTTTCAAATAATTTGACCCTCCTAATAGATCTGTCTCCGTGATTAGTTCTACTCAAAAAAAAAAATCTGGGATGCGCATGACTCTTTTCTTTTCAGACCTCCTATTCCTCGAGCGTACTCTTTTCCGTAAGAAGAGATAATTCTCACTAATTCGCACCCTCAGTTTGTGTGAATACTCATGTTTATCGGCAGAAATATACTTGAAACCATTCCCTGAACTTAATGTATTAATTATTCAGTTGTCGTGTTCTCTTTCTGACCGTAAAAATTCAGATGAATTGTGCATCTTTCGCCTTAAATATATGTCTCTGCTCTCAGAAACTTGATTATGGATTCTGAAATACGCTATTGATAGGGATGCCCTTCGCAGCACATCGAACGGTCATGATGGTAGTTGAAGTCGTGAGAATTTCCTTGTTTCTTTTCTGCAGATGATTTGACACTTTCGGAATAAATTAGGAACCACTGATGTTGACAAATATAGGTGTATTTAGATTCATTCGTTGTACAGTATATAGATTCGTTTGTTATGGTTGTGTGAAGAATAAAGTTTTCTGTATCAGTTTTGGCTCAGCTCATTTGAGACATAGCATTTGTTCACGTAGATTTTGGGTCGCAAAAGTATAACTTGGATACAATCACCGTATGCATACTCACTTCATAGATGAAGAACAGAGGAATCTGATTCGAAATTGAGTCTCCTACATGTGTGATGCAGAAAAGTTGTATCAATATTGCATCTAGCCGTTATTCAGTTGATTACTCTCAGTTTACGAATTTTTTTAAAACCCGCTTTATGAGATAGTGATCCTTTCTTGTGTATATCATACGACGGTTTTGATTTACGACACGACACACGAGTAAATTTTCATTATAAAATTGTATAAGTCGTTTAGTGATACAAAACATAAATCACGATGCATTATGAATTCCTGAGAATATGGTATCTGTCACTGATTATTTTATCGGTTCAGTATAAGGCAATGTGTTAATACCATCGGTTCTACATTATTTTAATAACTTCAGCAACGAAATTGCACACACGCGAACTCGCTTCTTTGGCCGTATCCAGCACTTCAGTATGTGCAACTTCCGCCGTTGAGTCACTGTCCATGTTGGCTCTGAAATCAACTTTGCATGGACGTTAGGTCAACGCAATACAAATAGAAGTGTTCATCGTCGGTGAACAGTACGCTAAACTCGCAATGAATTCAGTCATTTTGACCGAAATGATCTCCATTTGCTATCACGAAGCTACTAGAAACATCGTAAAGCAACATACATATTGGTGATTAGAGAAATGCCAAACACCGTCATTCCATGTTGTCTTGCCACAGCCACTTCGTGACAAGTTGACATTCCTGAAATTCACCTACAATACATTCAGCCTAGA